TGGTGGTCTCCCTATTTAAAAAGGGAGACTGCAGAGTGTGTTCCAACTACAGGGGGATCACATTCCTAAGCTTTCCTGCTAAGGTCTATTCAGAAGTCCTGGAGAGGAGGGTCCACCAGATAGTCAAATTTCGGATTCAGAAAGAGTAGTGTGGTTTTCATCCTAGTTGTAAAACACTGGACTAGTTCTTTAATCTCAGCAGGGTCCTGGAGGGTGCATAGGAGTTTGCTCATCCAGTCTATATATATTTTGTAGACTTGGAAAAGGTGTTCGACCGTGTCCCTCTGGGAGTTTTCTGGGAGGTATTATGGGAGTATGGGGTACCAAGCCCTTTGATATGGGCTGTTAGGTCCCTGTACAACCAGTGTCAGAGCTTATTGCCAGCAGTAAGCCAGGCTTGTTTCCAGTTAGAATTGGACTCTGCCAAGGTTGACCTTTGTCACTGATTCTATTTATAACTTTTATGGAAAGAATTTCTAGGCACAGCCAAGGTGTTGAGGGGATCCATTTTGGTGGCCTTAGGATAGCGTCTCTGCTTTTTGTGGATGATGTGGTTCTGTTGGCTTTATCAGATTGTGATATTCAGCTTTCGCTGAATGTGACACGGCCGGATGAGGATCAGTGCCTCCAAATCTGAGACCATAATCTTAAGCCAGAAAAGGGCAGAGTGCTTTCTCTGGTGTGGGGAAGAGGTCATGCCCCAAGTGGAAGAGTTTAAGTATCTTGATGTCTTGTTCATGAATGAGGAGAAAATGAAGCGAGAGATCAGTAGTCAGATTAGTGCTGCATCTGCAGTGATGTTGGCTCTGTACCAATATGTCGTGGTGAAGTGAGAGCTGAGCCAAAAGGCAAAGCTCTCAATTTATCAGTCAATCTACATTCCTACCCTCATCTATGGTCATGAACTTTTAGTAGAGACCGAAATAATGAGAATGCGGATACAAGCGGTTGAAATGAGTTTCCTCGGTAGGGTGTCTCCCTTAGAGGTAGGGTGAGAAGCTTGGTCATCCGGGAGACTCAGAGTAGAGCCTCTGCTCCTTCACATAGAAAGGAAGAAAGGATCTAGTTGAGGTGGCTCAGGCATCTGGTTAGGATGCCTCCTGGACGCCTCCCTGGTGAAGTGTTCTGGTCACATCATATTTGGAGGAGACCCAGAGGAAGACCTAGGACACACTGAAGGGAATATGTTTCTCGGCTGGCCTGTGAACGCCTTGGCGATTGTGGCCCCAGTTGCATTCAGATAATTAAGAAACTTCTCCCATGTAGCTGTGGGTTAATCCCTTAAAGTTTTTAACAATGTCATCAACCCATGAGACATGATCTTGCATCTAGCAAGCTCAGTTTGCATTATACCAAATATCAAGTTTAATTTCAAGCCAACTTAAAATACTGTATCTAAAAAAGTTGTCAGGTCCTCTGGACCGGTTCAAAAAACAAAAACAAAAAATTGAAGAAACGTTTAGTCTGTCATCAGAAAGAGACTGACAAAGTCTCAATAGCTGCACCAAGTTCAGTCTTATGAATAGCACATTCTCATAATGGATCAACCAGTTTGTTGTTGACATTCAAAACTAGCTGTTCACATGATCAAGGAGGACCATCACCCTAACAATGGATTGTTAGCACCCTGATGGCTGCTTGCTATTCACAGGGGGCTGAGTGATACTAGCAATAATTTGTTACATCTCATTTGGACTACTATAATTCATTGTATGTTGGTTTAGACAAATCATCTTTGCATCGTTTACAATCTGTCCAGAACGCAGCAGCTTGTCTTTTAACAGCAACTAAAATACATGAACACATAACCCCTGTCCTGGCTTCTCTCCACTGGCTTCCTGTCCACTTCCAAATTGATTTTAAGATTTTATTGCTTGTTTGTTTTTAAAGTCTTAAAAGGTCTGGCCCCGTCATATTTATGTGATCTCATTAACATCTACACTCCAGTAAGAGCACTTCGGTACCAACCAATTCCTCTTAGATGTCCCCAGATCCAAACTTAAATCCAGAGGTGATCGGGCTTTTGCGGTTACTGCTCCAAAACTGTGGAACAGTTTACCTGAGAATTTAAAGACCGCTTAGACTGTTGAGACTTTTAAATCTTTGCTCAAGACTCATCTGTATTCATTGGCATTTCATCCACGGAGAGTCTGAGAACAAGTTGATCTGATTTTATTGTTGTGTGTTGTTTTTACTGTCAACTTGTGTTTTTGAGTGGCACTAGATGCATTTTTACTCTGTTTTAATTTTTAATCTGTCTTAACTGTAAAGCACTTTGGTCAGCTTTTGTTGTTTTTATGTGCTATATAAATAAATTGACATTTACGATGCTGTTATTGTCAATGTCAGAGGGGGACTGTTGAACACGGAGGCCTCCACCCCTGTTTACTGATGGTATCTAAAAAAGTTAAATCTGGTCCTCTGGACATAAAAAAAACAACAAAAAAAAACTAAGGAAAACAACATAAAAAATGTAAAAACGTTTCGTCTCTTATCCGAGAGACTTCCTCAGTCTGAGGTGCGGTTTTCAGCTCAGTCTCTTAAATAGCACCTTTTCAGAGTGGATCAACCAGTTTTGCTGCTGACAACCAAAACCAGCTGATCACATGGTCAAGAAGGACCATCAGACTAACAATGGATCATTAGCACCTGATGGCTGTTTACTGTTCACAGAGGGCTGAGTGATACTAGCAATAACAGCATTGTAAGAGGGGGACAGTTGAACCCGGAGGCCCCACCCCTGTTTAATGATGGACGATTTATTTTCACAAAGATGGCCTCCTTTACTCCTCTCTCAAACCATTGTTCCTCTCCATCAAGGATGTGCACATCTTCATCCCTGAAAGAGTGACCACTGGCCTGGAGATGAGTGTAGACCGCAGAGTCCTGGCCTGATGATGTTGATCTTCTGTTCTGGGCCATCCTTTTGGCCAGTGGCTGTTTAGTTTCCCCGATGTAAGACTGATCACAGCCCTCCTGACACTGAACAGCATACACAACATTACTGTTTGTGCCGGGGGACTGGATCTTTGGGATGAACCAGTCTTTGCCGTAATGTATTTTGGGGTTTAAAAGCCACTGGGACGTTATGTTTAGAAAATAAACATCTCAGTTTCTCTGATACTCCCTCATCATATGGAATGACCACTGGTCTGGGTTCCTCCTTTTTACCTGATGGCTGACTGGAGTCCTGTTTGGGTTTCTTATCTTCTTTCAGGAAGGCCCAGTTAGGATATCCACATTGCTCTAGAGCCTGTTTTGTGTAGGATTTCTCCTTCTGCCTGGCTCCCAAATTAGTGGGGATGCTATCTGCTCTGTGATACAGAGTCCTGATGACTCCTAACTTGTGCTCCAGAGGGTGGGCTGGTTTATAGTACACCTCAGATTGCAAATGTCCTCCATCAGAAACTAAGACCTCACAGTCCAAGAAAGCCAACCTACTATTTTTTTATATCTTCTCATGTTAACTTTATATATTTATCTACAGAGTCGATGTGATCAGTGAAATGGTGGACTTCTTGAGATTTAATTTTAACCCAGGTGTTTTCAATATACTTAAACCAATGACTCAGTGCTCTCCCTGAAAAGGGCATCATGGCTCTCTTTTCTACCTCTTCCATGTACAGGTTGGCAACAATAAGAAAAACTGGAGAACCCATAGCATACTCATGTTATTGCCCCCATATGTGAAGTAGGTTGACTGTAGGCACAGGTTCGAGTTGACACAGTTGCTCTGTGGAAAGTGTAGCCCTGCTGCTCAGAGTGGTGTCTGATTTTAATCTTAAACAGACTACCTCTTTTGTCTCATCAGCAGGAATGCACATAGAGTGATGTGAAAATAAAATGTTAGTGTTAAAATATTTACCATACTTGTAGGACTAATCATTAGCTTACTGGTTATTTGAACAAACATGCATACCTTGTGTTTATTTTTCCCATCTAGCACAAGCCCCTGACTCTTTAAGTAACTTATCCTGCACAATTTGAACAAACTCCTCCTAAAAATCAGATAGGTTCCAACTTTTACTATTTTTCAGTTACAATTTAAGACAAATGTTTGTCCATTTGCTTTGGCTACAATATAAGAGTGAAAATTTGCAAAATTGTTACAACTTTTTATTGTTTCTCTAATTGGGTAAGCTTTTTAACCATTTTTTTACTCAATTTTTTTGATGTGTACATATATTTTATAGTCCATTTGGAATTTCTTTAGTTTAAGTACAACATTTTGACCAAATGCTATTTTTTTTTTTTGAAGGGGTTAAATTAACAAACTTGAATTTGGACATGAAATAATCATCTTGTATATTATTTTCTTTATATTTGAAAAGAAAACACCTTTACACTTAAATTGTATTTTTCTGGTGAAATCCTTCCTAATGAGGACCAGGAAGTGGGCGGCACCTTACTATATTTGGATGAAAAGTGTGTGTGAAACACTGGTTGCAGTAGCAGTAAAAAAACTGGAAGGGGGCGCTATGAGACACACACACACACAAACTTTGACTGAAAAACATGCGTTATGGGCCAGCCCCAAAAACATCACAGGCACCTTTTAAATAGCTCAAATATTGATTTAAAGCAGTTTCCCTTATGGGGACCTGGATTTTGGTCCCCATAAGGGAACAGGTCCCCATGACGTGACTGTGTAAACAGTTTCATGTCCCCATACCGTAGGGAATACCAGAACACACACACACACACACACACACACACACACACACACACACACACA